GTAGATACATAAATGATTATTTATGTATTACATTGAATGATTAAGTTGCTGCTACATATCTCTAAATATGTAGGGAAATGCAAATGGAATATATGATGGATAAGAATAATCTTAATAGTATTGAAATACTAGTTAATGATTGTTGTAATTGTTAAGGAATTGAATCTAAGGATTTGATTGTAATTGATGTACTTGATTGTGATGCAAGTGACTAAATTTATGTGATATGATGTAAGATCATGATGAGGCAGTCCGTAAGGATGTCCCGAAATAGATTATTGATATTACAATTCTAGGCATAACGAGTGCTTATGAATTGGGGTCTATGCCAATGTAAGGAGATGGATGTACTTGAGCCCGATGCTCTTGAATTGCATTGGGTAGACATAAGGATTTGGTTCAGCCCATGTAAGGAGATGTACTTGAGCCCGATGCTCTAGAATTGCATGAGTGAACATGACGTCGGAGATTGGTGGAGTAATTGACTTGTGATTGAGGTGCATGGTGATGTAGTCGAGTTGGACTCGAGAAATGCAAACATGTGTGTTAGGGTTGAACCCTATGTATTACCGTGACTAGGGGTCACGGGGTTTGGGTTATGTTTTGTAAATGAACTTTGGGTCACGGGCCGACTACTTGACTTTATATATAAAGTAAGTATACTTTGAAAAAGGGTAACTTGGGGTTACGGCCTAGATTATATTATCACCCTATTTGAGGGTCTTGTGTTTGAAATACTTGTTGTAAATCTATTAGATGCCATCCACACCAGTACTTTATAGCCGTATAGAGTACTGACCCCCTTTCGGGGGGGGGGGGGGGGGGTCCCACCACCATTTCAGATTGAGGCTAGAGCTTGCTACCTGTGCTTGTTGATCGGGCGATCATCTCAGAGGGAAGACGTGGTTCGCGCTTCCTCCATTCTGTTTTTAAACAATTTAAACATGCTCATGGATATTGTTTTTCATTATGGAGTCTACGTGCTCGTGTTTGCCCCATGTGGCATTTGTTTTCAAACTATGTTTTCCGCTGCGTATTCAATTACTTATTATGTATGTTTATGGATGACTTATGTGTGAATGATATTCGAGACGCCTTGTATAATATGGATGAGTTAGACTGCGGTTGACTATTCGTATTGTACGGCGGGTTGTTGACGTGTCCGGATAGGTCCGGGGCGTGACACAATGCCTTCGCCCCCCCCCCCCCCCCCCCCCCCCCCCGATGCCTTCGGCCACACAATGCCTACGGCCACACGATACCTTCGGCAACAGAACTATCGACGAAGATTCCTTTTAGAGACAGTCAACCACCGCATTTAATACGGCATCACATCCACCCACCTCATTTAATGCGGTGCACATGCATATGTCGGTGCCACCCCCGATTGAGGTGACCCCTCGGCCGTTAGATTGTTGACATGTGTACTCTCATCGCATTTATAGATGCTATAAATAACAGTCCTTGTTCACCTTGTAAAGCACAACGAGTTCATTTAATACATTTGACTCTCTCTCTTACTTACTTGCTCCGACTTCTCTCTAGGTTATTCACCGTAATAACTAATAACCTCTCGGATAAGCTACCCCCGGGTACACTATCCATCAATCACTCTAAAATAACTTTTCTTATACTCCGTATTTTTTATGTTGTAAATGCATGCTATGATTTAATACGTATTAGAAATTAATTTTATGATTAATAAATACTCGTATAAATCTATTTCAAACTTTTTGAAATAAACTCTAACACACACATATTAGAAATTATACTTATAATGTGTGAAATAAGTTGTTGTATATATCAAAATCAAACAACTCTAGTTTTATTCTTCAAATCAAATACATAATTATTTGTATTGTATTTGAAACACATTTGAACGAAAAAATTGATTTGTATTCGTATTTATATTCTGATTTATTACAAATGGGTTTGGAATCTGTATGCAAAAGTGGATATATGGGCTACTCTTTGAGGGGATCGCTATCTTTTAAAAGTTATTATAGTGTTATTACTATTATTATTAAGAAATTTTATCAATTCAGGACCCGAAAGATAGATTAATTATCAATTCAGGACCCGAAAGATGAAACGTATCAGTATAGGACCCGAATGATGGAAAACTATCAATTTAGGACCTAACGTTTCATAGGTTTTGATTTACTTAATTTTTTATTAATTCCATTACTAATTTTTGATAAACTTTTCTTCACAAAAGTTTATTAGTTTAATAAAACGAAATAATATTTAAAAAAAATTAATAAAAAAAATTGTGACAACTTAGGTCCTAGATTAATAGTTTTCAATCATTCAGGTCCTAAATTGATAGTTTTTCATCATTCAGGTCCTATATCGATGCATTTTATCTTTCAGGTCCCGAATTGATAATTAATCTATCTTTCGGGTCCTGAATTGGTAGTAATATCCATTGACCTCAGCGGATAAGAATGTAAATTGTATAGACACTTTTTGTTATGTTGCCGCTATAAAAGAAACAGCGTAGATAGAGTGGAAGAACGTTCTGGAGCTGGCATATCAAAGTTTGCTACAAACAGATAAAGGGAGAGGAAAGTTTCCATACACTTGTGTGAATTAACACACACACTTGCTATAAATTAGTCTTCAAAGGGAAATAAGGAAGCAGTACCAGCAGTTCTTTTGTAAATGGAACAAAAGAGAAACGAAAGAACTATCAAGTATAATGTTTATGCCTCACCCACCAATGCTTGCTCAGTTAGAAGCATAGAATATGGCAGAGGCGCAGAACTTAAGTTATTTTCCTAGCTATAGCAATGCTTTAAAAGTAAGGAATGCTTCTGATGACAAACCATTTGATCTTATGCTTTGTTTTGGTCTGGAAAGAAATGGAGAAGAGAGAAAAGGTAAGAGAGAGAAGAGAGAAATAGGAAAATTGTAAGTTTGTTTGGTATATGAGACATTATGGAATTGAAGAATGAATAGATGCAAACTGTATTTATTTTATGTGCATAAAAGGACCTATTACTAATGCTATATGTAAATACTAAGAGGGTAGAATGGGAAAAACAGTACCAAACAACGCTCTCCCCCACTATTTGGCTTCTTTACCAAACAAGAGAAGTGCTTCATTTCTTCTGTAATTCTATCATTAGCATGTCTTTCTTCTGAAGTCTGAACTTCTAGGTTATCAGGCAAAGGCTTAATATTGAGCAGGAGTGTTGTGAACTTGTTGTAACAATCCATGGGACAACCTGTATGGCTGTATGCCTGTATCTATAGTATTTTAGGTGGATATGTTTTAACAATATCAATATTTTAATACACATATAATTACATAAATTGAGAACAAACTTAACCTTTATATCATCTCCCACCACCATCTCAAGATACCTTGGTTGAGAAGAGAAAGTTACCCAGCTATAGCACAAGCGACATTGCTGAGTGACATCAATAGGAGTGGGAACCAAATAATAATAGAACAAGTTGTTTTAGTCAGTTACTATATCTCCTCCTCTACAAATGTTTCTGCAAGTGATTCAGTTCTGAACTTCTGAATGGATCAGATGTGGTGGTAGTTATTGAGGTAAGTAAAAAGTAAGATGGATCCTTCTAGTCACTAGACACTTTCCTATTAGGCTTCAAAAGCAGATACTAGTTCCATTCACTTTTCCTTTCTATATTTTCCTTTCAAGGAAGGTTTATTATGACTTGCTTCACTCCCATTTTCGGTACAGCAATACGGAACTACTTACACATTAGTACTTTTCCATCTTCAATCTCCCTCGTTTCACCTTTTCCTGTTTTTCTTTCCCTTTTTTTCACCACATTCACCACCTCTACAACATTACTCATTCTATCTGTAAAAAGGAATTACTAGGAGTAAAAATGAAAAGATTGGAGTATATTTCTCTATCTTAAATTCCCCGCGAAGTATCACCTAGGTTGTTGGCCTTCAAATGGTCGCTAAGGTTTTCTGTATTCAAATTGAACCCCCCACCGATACTCAACCTGTCTACCCCGGAAAATACCCTCCAGTCTGCCACCTAGCTCTTTTAGAAGACCATATCAAAGTGATTCTTTGAAGCTCGCTATTATAAACTCTACTACTCCTGCAACGGTTAATGATAAAGCTTATAGCATGTCATTTTGAGGTCATTGACTCAAGCCACAGAAACCACTTATGAAAGTATAAGGTACAGATTTATAAAAATGTAGTTTACTAGCTTATAGAAGTTAAGCTTTTGCAGTTTTGCACGTAGACTGTATTGGATTAACTACACTGATTTGTGTCACTCCAATAACTTCAGATTAACTAATGTGTAGTTGGTCTTTATCTTTGGTTAGGTGCAATGACAAATATAAACAAAACGCATAAGCTAACGTACCTCATATCATCACCTGCAATCCTACATCCTAATTATGTTGGGCAGTTGGGGTAGGTGGCAGGAAAACATTGTTCCAAAAGGTGGAATCTCCCACCCCAGGAGCCCCCCACCCCGACCCGACAGGATGGTGGGGAGGTTAGTCACGGTGACTCAGTCAGCAGAATGGCAGTAGGCTCATACACCCGTGCGCACCAGAGGCCCAGCCTTATTTCAGGTTCTGTGACCTCCACCCGGTCGCTGCGGGGATTCGAACCTTGGTCCATTGTTCCAAATCTCCCACCACTCGACCAACTGAGCTACCCGTGCGGGTAGGTGGCAGGAAAACATAGTGATATGTAACTAATTGTCTAAAAATAGTTCCCACTATGAATTTATGCAAAACTCCCACTGTGAAGTGAATCACTCTTAATGAGAGGAGGTGTAGTAGAACATTTTGTTGTTGAAAAAAAATGCTTCTGAATGTTACAAACATAACCACTTATAGAAGCATAACCAATCTTTTTTGGAAAAAAAAAAAATGCTTCTGAAAGTTACAAAGAAAAAATTACACTTTTCCCTAACAAAGCTCAATGGAAGCAGCATTAGTTTTAACTAACCATAGCATAACTATTTAACAGAGCAACAATAAAATGACCTGAGGAAATAAAGAACACACATAAGAGGGCAGGAAGGATTAGGTGTACTATACAAAATCATCTGTGCATTTGTTGTTACAGCGTTATCAAAAGATCTTATTTGTATGCATATCGTATATGATGATGATATGAAAAGATTGACTAATATCTCATACTACTTTATTCATCGTATATGAATGGATCTTTGGAGAGCAATAATAACATAGCTTGTATAAATATATAATTCTGGGAGACTGTAAATTCATTTCTTAACCCTACGGATTTTCTTATTGCCCCAAACCTCCAATCTACCTGCAGGGCAGCCACAGGGTGCCCGGAAGATGAGCACAGTGCGGCCATTCGGCGGCGCCATCCGCTTGAGCTCAGCCTCCAGCTCCTTGCGGTCTTGCCCGAGCTCCAATGGCTTCACGCCGTAATTGTAAAAGGCGTTCCCATTGAAGGATGCCTCAGGCGGGAGATATTTGAGGCACTCCTCTGACTCTAGCTGGATATCAAACTCCACCGCTTTCCTCAATCCTTGACAGTTCTGTTTCCCGCACTTCCTCGACCGCAAATCGACGACCTCCCATGCCACGATCACTACCAGAACTCCCGATAGAGCCGCCACAACACCTACGAAATACTCCACGGGGGTTTCGTTGATACACTCCAGAACGATTTCGCAGATGATCGGAAAAGCCTCGGCGAACACGGAAGTGAAATAGGGGATTAGGAGAAAACCCAGAGATCCGAGAACCAAGATGAGCAATACCAAATCAAGGGCCGCCATCGGGGAGTGATCTGAGCACAAAGGAATCTTGTCTTGTGATTGCTTGTTCTTGCTGGATTGGAATCGGGACCTGTTCTTGTGCTGCTCGAAAGCCCTGCAGAAATCGATCAATCCCCGGCAATCCACCATCGGCAGCCTCATTTTCCTGCCTGTTATTCACAATAGTAGTGTTCCGTTTTCCCGGAACGGTGTGATCGGATTATGACGAGCACGCCGGCAATAGAAATTGAGGAGAAGTACGGGCACATACCATTACGGAGTATCTGATCTAATTTATACTGAGTATGTCGAAGAGAATAAGAAAGGGAGGAGAACAATCAGGTAATTACTACTACTATAGCGATGGCAGTAAAGATTACATCGGAAAGAAATTACAGTTCTGTATTTACTGGCACAGATAAGAAAGAAAGGCTGAAAGACCGTCAGTTAGGAGCCCATTTGTGATCGTAGGACATTTGAAATGGTACAAATATACTCTTAATTCTTAAATATATTCTGACTATGGTTGGACTCGGGTCAGGCCACCCGGCCCGTGGACCGGCCCACTACTGTGCGGGACCGGGACCGGCCCGGTTCTCGGGTCCGGGTCCGGGTCGGGCCTAGGCCCGGGGGGTATTGCGGGTCCGGGCTCGGGTCTCAAATTTGGTGAACCGGCCCGGCCGGGTCGGGCCCGGGCCCGGGCCAAATTGATTTTTTTTTTTGGGTTCCACCCGGGTTGGGCTTGATGGGTAGGATGGGTTTGGGGGGGTTTGGGAGGGTGGGGGTGAGGGGGGGTTAGGAAAGCAAAAAAAAAAAAAAAAATCGGAGGTCCGGTCCGGATCCGGGCCGGTCCCGGGTCCACCATTCCTGAACCGCCGGCCCGCCCGGGCCTAGGCCCGGACCCGAGTCCATCCCTGATTCTAACTTACTTCTAGTTCTAGTTGGATATGTACATAGACAGTTTCTGAACAAGTTACATGTTTACAAGATAATTAGAGGATGTGTACATAAAATGTGTATAACTTATGTGTACAAACAACATTTTCCTAAAACACACTACCTCCATATGTTAATATTTGTTACTTTTTTCTTTTTTGAATGTATTTAAAAGTGGGCTTTTCTTTGAATATTACTACATTAAAGCATATTTCCAAAAATGCGATCATTTTTACAAAAAGACAAAAATGTGACTAAGAAAGTGATATATTTTGAAAACAGTGTCACTACCTGATAAAAATGTTATTATCCAATTTTAATTTCACTATGGTCACCGTCCGTGTCACTGTGGCCACTGTCGGTGTCGCTATAGTCACCGTCCGCATCACTGTGGTCACCGCCCGTGTCACTATCGCCACCACTCGTGTCACTGACGCCGTGTATGACCGTCGATAAGACTTTCGATGATTTTTTCCGGCAAATTTGTCCCCCAACATTACCACCTGCCGGCGGTGCCATTGACCGCCCACTAACCCTGTCCCTCCCTGACCCCATCCCCACGCCCCAGCCCCCAGCACCCTACCCACTACTGAAATGCACACATTGCAAACATTCTTGATTAATATAAATATTAAGGGTAAATGTAGACTTGAGGGGGAGTACCCCAACTAGATTACGTTACACTCTTTTCGTTTAACCAAGTTTTATTTTTTCCACTGGGTTTTGTTACCTGGTAAGGTTTTTAATGATGCAACGATGCATATAAATTTTAATGATCAAAGTTAGGATCAAATAAAAACAGACGTAATGAAAAATGTTTATCATGAGATTGTACTCATTTTCCCGGTCAAATTTTTTTTCCCACGGAATTTTTGTTACTTGATAGAGTTTTGAAATGGCAACAAGACACATACATAATTCTATCTACAACTTAGTACAAAGGAGAGTGTTGAAACAAAATTCTATGTAGTGTATTATCGTTGATATAAAATATGTAATAAGGTCATTATATGTAAACTATGTATTATGGGCCATGGACCCATCCTTGTAAACCATACTTTCTCCCTATTTAAAGGGCATATGATAATGAAGCTATACCTAATCATTCTCCCTTCAACATGTGCATATTATTACTCCCTCCGTCCCTAAAAGGATTGCTAAGTTTGACCGGCATGTAGAATAATAAAGCAAAACCTGTGTGGTAGATATTTGTGCAGAGGAGAGAAAAATAACATGAATCACAAATTGATTGATTAATAAGGAAAGTGACAAAGTTTTTGGGATAACATAAGAAGTGAAGTTGTCAAATTTATAAGGGGGAATAATATATAATATTAATCTGCTCAAGTGACACCAATAACACTAGATCGTGGGTATATCAGACTCCCTTTAAGGGATGTTGAACAGAGTTGGACTTGTGGCACACACTTTTGGTCTACACACTTTTTACACATGTCTGTGTAAGGTTTTTTTATGTCTGTACAGACATAACATATTTTAAAAATACGTTATGTCTGTACAGACATAAAAAAAACCTTACACAGACATGTGTAAAAAGTGTGTACACCAAAAAGTGTGTACCTTTAGAATTTTTCTGTTGAACAACATACAGATTGCGATACTCTTCCAGTTTAGAGGAAAAGGTCTTCCCAATAGTTGCACATAATATCATCAAAAATGCTCTTGTTACACATTTTTTACACACACCTACACACTATAAATACTCCCAAAAATAATTTACCCCTTTCCCCATTCCAACCACACTCGATTTTTTAAAAAAAACCTTCCCCAACTTCACGCATCCCTTCCCCTTCCCCTTCATCTCTGCAACCGGCTACCCTCTGCCAAGCCCTCACCAGAGGCGATTCGTCCTCGTCAACCGGCCCACCAACCCGACGGCGTTCGTCCTCCCATCCGGCGGCGCTGCAATAGGCGGTGCAACCGGCATTCTTCCCCAGCCAGTCGTCCCGTGCAACCGGTGCTGTTTAATCGACCCCCCACGGCGTAGAATCCTTTGACAAAGAATGATGCGAACCCCACTTTCTTCAATGGCCGAAAGGTATGGTCCTCTATCCTTGAAATTTTTAGTGTGTAAATATAGTTGATGATGTTTATTTGGAGGGTGAAGCAAGATTGTTTTGTTTAGCATGTTTTGGAATCCATTTAGTGCTTGGATTTTGAACAATACACAAATATCAATTTATTTGTGCTTTGTGTGAGAATATGTCATATGGGGATATGCATTGTCTGTGTAAGTTATATGATTGTCTGTATGACTCTACATATGTCTGTCTGTACCTATAACAGAACATATCACACAAGTAAAATTGTAGCACTTGAAGCTCAATGGTAGTTTGAAACAATTGTTGGAAAAATGTGTTAAAAATTGCATTAAATGGTCATTTTGGGGCAATTATTTGAGTGGGGTCCGCTTCCGATTTGGGTCGGGTCAAAGTGGTTTCGGATTGTCCTTGTTAAGGGCTACAACTCGATATATGGTACGCTCAAAACGGATAACGGGTGAATGAGAAATTGATTCTCGAAGTTCGCTCGTTGAAATGGAAAAACTGGGAAAATGATGAGTTTCTAGTGTGTTTTATCCCACACCGAAAAACTCAAGGGATTTTCACCCCCTTTTAAAGGGAAGCCTCTTTTAAGGAGTTAAGATTCCTAAAGGGAAAGGCTCTCTCTTACGCGCAGGGGGGGTGCCGATCAAATCCCGAAACGGAGAAGAAAATCCGCGACTCGTGTGCGCGGGCGACCTGCGGACACGAATGCCGTCCAAAAATCTATCTCTCAAGAGATACGGTTAATTTTTGTTTTCTTCCCGAAACGTTTATTTTTTTCCCGGACTGGTCAAGCACTATAATATTTGATGTGTCTACTTCTATAGTTAGATTTTCTCTATTTTTATCTACTACTATATGCACACTCGCGAGATGTTATGGATCTATTTGAGATGGTAATTCCTCAAATAGATGTTATGGTTTGCAATTCCTTAAATAACACTCGCGAGATGTTATGGATCTATTGGAGATTTCCTTATTAATCAATCAATTTGTGATTCATGTTATTTTTCTCTCCTCTGCACAAATATCTACCACACAGGTTTTGCTTTATTATTCTACATGCCGGTCAAACTTAGCAATCCTTTTAGGGACGGAGGGAGTAATAATATGCACATGTTGCAGGGAGAATGATTAGGTATAGCTTCATTATCATATGCCCTTTAAATAGGGAGAAAGTATGGTTTACAAGGATGGGTCCATGGCCCATAATACATAGTTTACATATAATGACCTTATTACATATTTTATATCAACGATAATACACTACATAGAATTTTGTTTCAACACTCTCCTTTGTACTAAGTTGTAGATAGAATTATGTATGTGTCTTGTTGCCAAAACTCTATCAAGTAACAAAAATTCCGTGGGAAAAAAAATTTGACCGGGAAAATGAGTACAATCTCATGATAAACATTTTTCATTACGTCTGTTTTTATTTGATCCTAACTTTGATCATTAAAATTTATATGCATCGTTGCATCATTAAAAACCTTACCAGGTAACAAAACCCAGTGGAAAAGTATACCTTATAGCTGACATTTGGATCTAAGTATACCCTCTGTAGCTAACGTGGATTAAGAGTAAGAACATATATAACCTTATAATATATTTAGCAACAAAAATCATAACTGACATTTGGATCTAAGTATACCCTCTGTAGCTAACGTTTTACTGCTTTTTTGTTAGATTCAAACACTGCACAAGGTCAAAAGCATCAGCTTTAAATAGAAAAGAGCAACAAGAACACTCTAAGAACTGGGAGGTGTATCATGTGTCAATCCTTTGAAGTAATACTAATCATTCTTCCAAATCATAAATATAATTGGGACCTCAAGATTAAGAACAAAGCCAATGTACTCCATTAATGAAAGAAACAATATGCATGACTTTGAACTAAATTAAAATGTACTTTTAATTGATTAAGAGTAAACTAATATTAAGGTTTTACCATGTCTTGCATAAATGCAGTATGACCTGATCAATGTACTTCACATACATTTAAAGTAAATTTTCTACATAAAAGAAAACAACCAATTTGAACTAGTCCAGGTTTACTTTTGGGTTTTTATTGGAAATGTTGTTTAGCTTATACGTTATATGAAAGAAAACACATAGAGGAAGCTAGGGATGTTTTTGAAAGCGTTTGAAGTATTAGTCAAATATTGTTATCTTTAATTAACTATAAATAGCGCCATAAAGTATTATACAATACCGATATTAGTGTTTATTATGATTAAATACTCTTATCTTTAATTAATTGAAAATGACACTCTAATAAAAGTCATATTATAATACTAACCTTAATAAGAGATTATTAATGGAAAAGGAGGACTAATA